TCAGCCTGTCATCCCAGCACTTTGGGAGGCCGAGGTGAGTGGATTGCCTGAGCCCGCAGGCTCGAGACTAGCCCTGGCAACTTGGCGAGGCCACATCTCCACAATAAATCACAAAAATTAGCCAGGTGTGGTAGTGCTCACCTGTAGTTCTGGCTGTTTGGAAGGCTGAGGTGGAAGGAACAATGGAGCACAGCAGGTCGAAGCTGGGGTGGCAACGAGTGTGCCACTGCACTCTGCCTGGGCGACAGAGTGAGGCTCCAACTCAGAAAGAAAAATGCAATTTTAATAAGCACTGGCTAGAAGTCATTATCAGCTCAAGAAGCAAAACATACACACACATCTGTATTTATTTTAGCAAAAAGAGGTTTGGTGGTTCAACCTGAAGGCATTGGTGTTAACTATTGACTGTCTCCTACGGAACACAGGAATGATGTCACTGGAATATTTTCATCCTGAAGGGTGAGGTTTTTATGAGGCGCAGTTAAGGGGAAGGACCCCGGGGTTGCCTGGAAGTGAAAATGTAAATAAGTAACTGACATGCATACAGGGCTTTGCCATGTTTGAGTGCTTTGGTAACCTGGCCCCACAAAAGTCCTGTGAGGCAGGCAGGCCGGCCAGTGGTAGGGCCGCACTTCACAGGCGAGGACGCTGGAGCTCGACCTTGTTCCCGGACTCAACGCCGGTCTTCTCATCCCGTGCCTGGTCTTGTTTTTACTTTGACGCCCGCTGGTGGGAACGAACGGACGTTGGCGCTTTTCCTGCTGTCCGGGCGCCCCGAGCGCCGTTGCTCGCCTGCCTTTGCCCTGCCTCGAGGCCCCGCTCTCGATCCAGGCTGCGCTGTCCACTCCCCTGGGTTCTTTCTTTTTTTTTTGAGTTGGAGTCTCACTCTGTTGCCCAGACTGGAGTGCAGTGGCCGCTCTCGGCCACCGCAGCCTTGCAGTTGCTGGGCTCCGGCGATCCTTCCGCCTCAGCCTTCTGAGTAGCTGGAATTACAGGCATGTGCTACCATGCCTGGCTGATTTTTTTATTTATTGTAG